ATGACAAATTCATTCACTTATTTATGGCAAACAAGTTACAAAAGATCACAGTTGTATTTTCTGTGGGAGACATGCATTTTGCACATTGCATGTTAGAAATATATTCATAACTAATCAATGAATAAAGACCTTTTTCTTAAATTATGCAAAAACAGCATGAGAGAATTTTAAATCAATTTACAATTCTCACAACTAGTTCTCATTTTACTGAGATGCTATGTTTGTGTAGTAAAGCACACAAACCTCAAGGAATATTGATTAAAGATTAAATAAGACAGCCCATCCCGACCATATTAATTTGTACCTATTCATTGCAATACTTTCTCATGTAATAGCAACTCTTTACCAATTGAAATACATTAATAAAACCTATAGCTTTAAGGATCTAAAATTAAGAAAACAAAATATATATATATTTACACACAATACCCTTATAGTCTAAGGCTAGGGACAGATGTTACACTTAACATGTGCTAAGTGCACAGAAAACACTTTAAAGCAGTAATAGAAAAGACATTCGTGGCATTAAAGCACGTTAAAAATGGTGTCTCCCACTCTATCTTAACCGTCAGTGGGTATTGTACTAGACTAAAGTGCTTTAGGTCAGAGTGCTTTTTTGAATGTCTGTACCACATCTGCTGTGCTTCAGTCTAGGTCACATTCTGCCTAGGAGCCACTCACTGGGTGGTGTGCTAGCCTCAGCCAGTGCTCATCTGCTCTGGCTGAGCATGACGCCAGGCCTGCCCCCAGGTTGTCACAGAGGAGACAGAAAAGGCTTTGTCTGCTCTTGGTGCAGCCAGTGGGGGCTGGGAAAAGGGAGGAATGGAGCTTCTTATTTGCAGAGATCCCTCCCCCAGGTTTGCAGGATCAGGTTTTGGTGAGTGCCAGGCCGGGTCTGTGCCACACAGATGCTCTATTCCCCCACTTTCAGCCAGGAAGTGCAGCTCCTGGCTGTACCCCTTTTCGTGGCACCAGGAACTGTGGCGGGGGTGAGGGGCAGAATGGAACCTTTCTTCCATGCAGATCCCCAACAAGGTTGTGGGCTCTGGTCTTTGGGGGGGCTGGGATGGATCCATGTGGCAAAGAGGCTCCATATTCTCTCCCCCACTCCGATCCAGTTTGTGGTGCAGGGAAAAGCTGGTCAGGCAGCCCTGTACTGCAGCTCTTGGCTGGGAATGGGGGTAAGGGAGCCCCCCCTGCCACACGGACCCAGTCAACCCGACTCCTGTGAGAACCCAGCCAGCAAGCTGTTGAGGGGAGCCCTCACAGTAGGAGGAAGCTCCCTTCTCCCTTGGCCTCAGTTCCTGGCCCAGCAGAAAGCCAGACAGTCAGCCCCATGCTGCAGCTCCTGGCTACAGCTGTCAGGAGGGTGGGGCAGGTGGGGAAGGAAGTCCCCCCATCATAAGCCCCCCCCAGCTGGCTGTCAAGGGGAGGGGGTGGGCCAAGCTGGGTCCACACAACAGGGGGCTCCCACCTCAGCCTCTTGACAATGGCATCCAGAAGCTGCAGCACAGGACTGCCTGGCTGGCTTTTTGCAGCACTGGGAACTGGTATCAGTGGGGAAGGGAACCCCTGCTGCTGCAAGCCCCTTCGCCCCCTGCCCCCCCGAGATTGCTGGCTGGGCTCTTGAGCAGGGGCAGGGCCAGGTCTGCACAGCAGGGAGGTGCTCCCTTCCCAACCCCCTGCCAAGGCTCAGTTTCCAGCATGGTGAAAAGCCAGCTGGGCAACCCTGCAATGCAGCTCCTGGCTGCAGCTTTTAAGAAGCTGGGGCAGAGTGAGGGAGGGATCCTCTTTCCATGTGGACCCAGCCAGAAAGCTTCCCTCCCTCTCCCCCCCAGGTACTGCTGACAGCCACCAGCTGGCAAAGGGCTGGGGTTGGCTCTGGCAGGCATGCCAGACAGCCTCCCACCTGCTGGTCTTGCCCAGTGCAGGCTAGTACTGACCGCCCTTCCGCCCACTGAGCAACAAATGTATTTTCAGTTAATTCCTGCTATAACGTATAGCACTTTAAGTGCAGTAGTTACAGTTCTTCTGCCAGGGGCTTTCTGAATGTCTATACTTAGCCTACATTTTTAAAGGGGTCTCATATTTCCCTCCAGTTTATTAATTCAGGCATATACGGTAGGATTAAGATATTCAAGTTTCAACTAAAAATAGGGTAGGAAAGTGACACATCTTAATCCTTTCATATCTGCCTATAAGTTATTGCAGATGTGAAACAAGAGACCATCTTTAAAAATTTCACCTAAAGTGCTCAATTTTACCCTCAGATAACTCCATGCAACTTCCATTGAAGTCAATTGGAGCTGTGCCTGCGTATCTGTTGGTGGAGCTGGACCCATTGATTTAAGGTACACATTTCACAAAATAACTAGCAATCCAAAATATTCAATGGGCCTTATGTGGTAGGAATTACCAGTTTGAGCCCTTTGTAACATGGGAGATTAATAGTTCTTCTGACAACCTTAGCTTTATTTCTTTATTTCAAGCCTTTTAAACTTGTACTAATAACAAAACGGCAATGTAATTTGTTATATTTAACTTTCATAGGAGAGAAAAAACATGAAAACCCTCTAATTTTCAAAACTGCATTTATATATGTGATTTTTTTTCAACCAGTGCACCTACCTTACATGTTTTAAAGATCCAAATTCAGTAGACATGTATTTGTACAATAAAATCTTTGTACTGATTTCTCTATATACTTCCGTGGTTTCAAAGTAAAAAAAATGTAGACATGTAAAGAAGTAAAAAATGAAACAGCAACCCAAACCACACACAAGACTGGAATGTTTATTTTGAGCTGCTTGTAACTAGTATCTTTTCCTCTTACTGACCTTGAAAGTAGCCACCTAGAAAATTTTTACTTTGGACATTTTTAAGAAATACATCAAATAACACCCTTGAATAAATCCTAACATTTTTACATCATAAAATATATCCATTTGTGACTCAGATACAGAGGGAAAGACTTGGTTCAGATTTTCGTAAATGAAACATCACCCTTGGTCTGAACAAAGCAAGAAGAACATTTGAAATAAACAGGAGGATTTTTTTTCAGAAAATTATGAGCCTGTACAAACTGGCAATCATAATAGAAGGCTCAGGCTATCAATAAATGTGCATTTGTAGTGCTACAAGTGCTACAGGAAAATAGCACTATACATTCACAGACCACTGGCTGAAGTTACAAAATGCCTTTTGCAGCAGGAGGGAGAGGGAGCAACAGAGGACTGCTTCTTTCCTTTTCTCCACCCTCTCCCCGCCATCCCCATACTTGGGGGAGCTCAACAGTGAGGCTGATGACTGACATCCCTCTCTTCCCAGTCAAGAAAGTGGGGAAGAGAGGGATGTCAGTGGCAGGCAGGCAGCCAGTATTTTTGTATAAGTATACATACAGCTCAGACCCTGCCACAATGGAAGCAGTGGTCTCCACCACTGGCAATGCTGCCATCATCATGGCAATGTGGTGAGCAGAGCTACAGCCTCCAGTCCTGCAAGCTGTGCTCCTGATGGGCTGTCAGGGAGTCTGCAGCTCCAGGCGAAGGGGAGTCTTCCTCTCCCCTTCACCCGGAGTTGGGGGTTGGAAGGGGTTGAGAGAGCAGCACTGTGGGATGCTGGGGGAGTTATAGACCCCCATCGTATTATATGTAACTGTACATATGTTACATGTGGTACTACAAATCATAGCACTACAGAGAGGTTCCTGTTTCAAACAGAAACAGAGGTTTCTGTTTAGTGCTTTTGCCATTTTTGGAGCACTACAGGTACAGTGCATATCTGTACACCTACTTTTTATAGCACCACAAGGACATACATAGTGCTACAAATACATCTGTCTGTGTACTGTTTTAAGTATAGGGCCAGTAGAAAATTACTAGAGCCTGGTTGTAGCCCTTATATTCATGTAATAAAGTAGCAAATCCAAAAGTTAAATGTATTTGAATTGCATTTGCAAAAAAATGCTACTTAATACAAGCAAGTATAGCAGAATATCTAATACTTTATGGGAAGCATGTATTGCCACTATTAGTAGTTAATCTATTTTATGCTTTTAATAGAGAATCCTTATATGTAAACAACCACTTTGAATAATCAGCAAGGGGATAAATGTCTAGTCTCACAAACAAACATGCCCACATATACGACTTTTTAATTCGTCCTTTTCTTTTTTTTAAGTTACACTGCTGCTGCAAATGTAATTGGTACTAATTGTGTTAATTGCTTTCAAGGAAAAAGAATGATCTCCCAAGTCTTCTAGTATAACTTTTGTCCACACAGCTTTTTAGGCTGCTTACAGATATGTAATAAACCTCCAAAAAACTGCGCTTTACTTTAAACTTGGCACACCTCTATGCCAAACGCAGCTCATGCCCAGAAGAGGCATCTTGTTAGTTTGACCTGGCTCACCCAGTATCTGTACAGATTGGTGCTTCAGTGGAGGCTTTTTCGGTACTTTTATCTATATAGACACTGTGGAGCTGGGTTGAACTAACACACTGCCTCTTCCAGTAAAGCGTGGTTTCTTGTTTTTTGGGGTGTTTTTTTGTTTTGTTTTGTTTTGCTTTGTTTTGTTTTGGGGGGGGGGGTTCATGTCTTTTTGCAGCCTTACAGTCTAGAAAATGCACTTCCAGATCTGACCTGCAGAATGAAAATATGGCAGTATAGCAAGTGGAAGTGGTGTTAACCTGGTTTAATGAGTGTCTAGATTAGCTTAACAGCTTTTAGTCTTTTGCTGTTTTCATATCCACTGCACTAGCCTGATAGTCTGTGGGCAATTGGGATATCTGTCCATTTTCCCTTGAAGATTCCAGGCACCTCGAGTAGTTGTTTTAACATCAGTGTGCCTCTGTTCTGTGTTTACACCCTGCTTGTTGTACTGTTTGTATATTTCTTTGTTTTGTTGAGGTAGACATAAAATGAAAAATTGATGCTAAACCATTTATTTCTTTAACACTTTTTCACCACTTTTAACAGGCTTCCATTATGTGTTTTTACAGCAAGCTTAGTAGTGGAGGAGCGAACAAGACAGATGAAAATGAAAGTGCACCGTTATAATCAGACAACAGGGTCTGGTTCTAGTCAAGAACATGAGCGTGAGCAATATACTAAGGTAAAGATTGTAGCATTACAACACTATTTTGTTTGAAAGGTGAAAGAGTAACAGGGTTACTTAAAATATTGTGTAAGACTCAAGAACATAATGTTTATACAGTTTGATGGAAGTATCTTTGAACTACTTCATTTTGACCAAGAATCTGCAAGTACATTCCACTTTACTTTTTGGAGTAAACTAAAAATGAATATGCACTATTCAAAACTCTTTTTGCAAATGTATGCATAGTCTAACATTTCTGCTTGTATTGCCATAGACATACTCTCCTTTTTGAAAATATACAAAGGGATTTTAGCTTCTCACTATAAAGCAAATATCATTTGGTTTGAATTTTGATCTTCTGTCCAAATAGAACTGTACATTTTTCACTTGATGAAGTTTATGTGAAAGAATACACAATTGTTACATTTATAAAGGTAGTATACAACATTTTTTCCTTACAATGCTATGAGATACCATACCCATTTGAACAGGCCTTTAGGCAGAATGCAGAAAATGACTTGTAGAGTTCTGTTATGCCTTTTACAAGCCTACCATAGAGAAGATGGAGCTGTACCATATGCACATAATTGTTTAAAGCATTTGGCCTTGTGAAGCACTGAGGCAAAAAGAATGTTTCTGGAGGTCCTGGGGGAGAGTGCTTAGAGAGAGCTTTTATGTTTCCTTTTTTAGAGATAGAGCATTGTGTCTATTATAAATAGAAGACAAAGGCAAAGCCAACTTCCCTGCTGCTATGCTAGAAGCATTCCAACTACTTTGTTCATTCACTGGCATTGAGAACATTGCATAACAATAGCATATTTACTTTCAGCCACCACAGGATGGCAGCATGAAGGTGAAAGTACACAATCAGTACTTCTAAGGGTATTCTAAAAACAAAAAAGCAGCTTCCAGCATTCAAAAATCACAAATAAGGCCCTCGAATTACTGAAATTTTAAAGAAAAATATATTTTAGATTCTTTTTATTTGTTTTCCAGCTGTTGAGCCTTTGGGGTTCACATTTTCAAGATTTTCTCCAAAACTATGTGGGCTAGATGCTTATTTTTAAAAAACAAAAATAACAGCATTGGAAGTACAGAGTTTCAATCTCATTAAGTTAATTGGGGCCTTAGGTAGAATCAAGAGATTTGGGAACACTGATATGCTATAACTATGTACTACACAGGCATAGACATCTGACTGCCAGATCTTCATCCTTTCAAGATAAATGTCTCAACAGGCTATTTTCCAAACTTGCTGATAACCCAGCAACATCTAATTAAAGTTAATGGGAGCTCCTGGAGGCTCAACATTTTGAAAATTAGACCACTCACTAGTTGATAAATATAACTTTGGGAACTAATTTTAGGTCTTAAGAAAATTGGTCTAGGTCTTAGCATAATTAGAGAGAAGTTTATTATGAGAAATTTCCCTTTTAAACCTGGGATGTAGCTTCAACAACACTCAGTTTGCAGAATGCTTCCATGCAGACAAGCATGACGCATATATTTCTAATATACAGTAAAACACTTGATGGGGATGTTCTGGTTACATTTTTGACCAGCCATTCAAATGTGTAGGATTTTCTAGTATTATATATAGAACTGAGATCATAATTGAACCTAAGCATTTAGATACTGAAGTAAAAGAATTGTAATGCAGCTGTGTTACTGCAGAAGCATTTTGTAATTTAAATGATCACGTCTTCAAAATAGTATTGCATCTGCCTGTAGAAAAAATGGGGTTACTATTCTGATATTCAGCATCTTTACAAAAAAGTGCTTTTCAAGAGAATACCGTTGAACATAGAATGAATATCAAATTGAAGTTGAGATCCAAACCACCTTTAATAGCTAATAAATTTTCCATTTTGTTAATAACTGCCATAACATTCAAGCTGATGATCATATTATACACTCAAATGAGATATGTGAAATGACATTTTTCATTGTGACCCATTGTTTGTTTGTTTTTCACTTCAGTTATATTTAGCCCTCATCACTATTATGTTTTTGTTCTGGTAAAATAATCATTTTTAACCTATAAAGGTAATTATTTTACAGACAGTTGAGTGTAATACATCCCATTATGAATGCTTAAGCCCTACAAGGAAGTTACATTCCCATCATTTTAACCTTGTACACAATCTTCAGTGAGGAAATTATCTTAAACTGATATAATTTGATATACTGAATTGATGCAGAAATCAGATTAACTACTCTTGCTACAGCCTCTCCCTCCCAGCAGTTGTTATGAGATGAACAAGAAGTTGTCAGCTAGACAATTTTAATTGCAGATGTAATGAAAAGTATTATATCCACTTCATATCAGTGGATATAATAGAGCTTAACTTAAGGCCAGCTAGTGTTAATTCAAATAGGAGAAAGTCATACTTAGCCTTTTTCTCAGACTGTTTTAAAGAATGCCATATCATGCAGCAAAGAGAAGATCTAGACATTTGACTTGGGCTCATTTTCACTGGAAAAGACAATTTGTTGAAGTGACACTGCAGCCCAGCTCCCCTGGCAGGAGGGCGCCTCCAATTTTGTGTTTGCCCGGGGTCCTAATACCTCTGCCCTCCACTTGGGTTCTTAGTTTCTCTTTCACAGTCACCATATGGTTATATCTTATACATACTGAATGTTAATCAGCATGTAGTCATTCGCATCACTACCAGGTTATTTCTCAGTTATCAAACTGTGAATGCAAATATCTATCCTCAGTTTGCTGTGACTGATTCTGAATTTCAAATTGTTTTGGCAGTCACAAGGATGCTGTCTTAGATCCTTAGTGTCTTCACTAAACTCTATAATTCACATAAAAGGGTTAAAGAAAAGGCAGAGAAAATCTTTCTTTAATTTGATGAAAAAGCAACTGTCTAGAAAAGGAATAGTAAATAAATCATTTCTTCCTTCTCTTCCAATGCATCAGCAAGGCTCTTTTGCCCAGAACCATGGTAATGTACTTATGTTTGTTGTATCTAAGAGAACCATAGCTCCTCTAATAGTAGAATTAGTAGAATTCAGATTTACAGAGGTGAAAGTGAGAAAACAACTTGATTCAGGAGCTCAATATGTTTTTTTTCTCATACATACAGTACATAGAACAGATGGACGATTGCTAAAGCTGTTCATGGATTCCAAACAAAACGCAAAACATTTTTAGAGGAGTTTACTCAAGATAGCCGCTAATGAAAAGTTTATAGTAGCTACTTAAAATAGCTTCACTTTATGTTTAGGTACACTACTAATTCAGTTAATACTTTGAATGTTTCAATTAATCCTTTGAATGTTTTGAAAGTATTTTTTTAAAGCAAATTCATTTTTCATTGGAACCAAAAGTTATATCACGATCTTTAGAAAAGCTACACAACTTGCCTTTTTCAGACCTGGAGAGAAATGTAGTGTAATAGAGGAATTAGTTTAGGATCAGCCTATGTAGGTTTGGTTTAGAATTCAAATCTTCAAGGAGAAGCAGCGGTTAGAGCAGTAACCTTCTGTGTTCCAGCACAAAGTTGTCACATGACACCTGGCTAAAGAGTTGCATTCACAAAAGGGAAGCAGATGTTGCTTTAGACACATTGTGAAATGAACTCCACTCAAGATAGGAGCTTTGGCTTTGTATGTAATGCATGAAAACATTTAGCTGCCTACATTAGTTGCCACAGAAGACAACAGGAGCAGGGAGCCAACAAGAAAGACTGAGAAGAGAATCCTACCTTCATAAATCTCAACTTCTAGTGGACTTAGGGTGCCTATACATGTGCAGCCAGGCTGCTCCAACGTGCTGTAATTACAATTACAGTGTGTTGGAGCAGACTCAATCGAGTCTGCTGGAACGTGATAATTGCCGTGCTCCAGCAGACTCCAGTGTCATGTATATCAGCATCCCCACAATGAAAAATGGTGCCGGGGCACTTTAACTAAAGCTCGTTCAACAGACTTTAGTTAAAGCACTCCTGCTGCCAGTTTTCAGTGCAAGGATGCTGATACACATGACGCTCCAGATGCTTTCGTTAGAGTGGCCCTTAGATCCGCTTTAATTTTAGAAGCCCACCCCTCGCACCCAGAGCAAGTGTATAATTGCCCGTAGGTGCCTTACATGGAACTAAGGGGAGTCACTCGGGATTCACAGTCCTGAACTCTCTCTCACAGTTTAGTGCCTTTTTTCCCCCAAAACACTGAGATGGGGATCAGTCTTGTTTTTCAAAAGACTGGGCCATCTTTCATCCAATGGACCAATCCTTTATGTATTCAATATATGGGGGGGAAGACCTAGACTCCATTCCCTGTTCCTATAAATATTCATTGTTTTATATTAAATGTTCATTGGAGCAGAAACTTGAATGTGTCTCTACCTTTTTTGGTGAGTGCCCTAAAAGTCATTAAAGAACTGAAACAAAATCCACAAAGAAAATTATTTCAGTTTGCCTGCATCATTTCAGTTTACTTTAGCATGTCTGCTGTTCATTGCATTCCCTTTTTCTCCTTTTATTTGACATGCAGAGGAGGAAGAGACTCCATAGGCAGTAGGTTAAACAGAATAACTGTAGTAGAAGTGTTTATAGTTGGGATAGCTGTACTGCAAGAGACTGTAAAAAGTCTTTGTAGTTCAGAAATAAGCTGTAAGTAATCCTGTTACAGAAAAGAGGTCATAGACTTTACATACTGGTTAGTAATAATGATACAAGTAGAACTGTAAAGTTGCTATCGGAACAGCTACCAGAACAACACTTCTCCTGATGGGATGACCAGTAGAATGAAAGCACCAAAAAGTAATATATGAAGTTTCTCCTTTCTAGACCTGTGTCTAAGAGAAAAGTAATTGTGCATATTGTTCTGCGTTACAAGCTTTGTAACTATAATTCTTTAATACGTATTTTTGTTTCTGTGGCCATATGTGATAGGAAAATATCACATCAATTAAAAAAATAGCTCTGAAGTCCTCAGAGCCAGCTGAGAGAGCATCAGAATCCTAGAGGGATAAAAAGCTCCACTGGATTTCTGTTGAAAAAAGAAATCCCATATCCTTTTAAGGAAACATAAAAATGTGTCTAAAATGCTACATATTTATCGCAGGTACAAACTGCTAACTAGGAAGTAGCTCATTATATTTTTTTTTGTCTGTCTTAAAAAAATGTGCTCTTGGGTAAGGATAAATATGTAGTGCTTACAAAGACTGGGAGACTTCTGAAGAGAAAGTTTCACAGTGGAACCCTTTGATCCTTGCCTGGGGCCTCTAGGTGCTACAGTAATACAAATATTAACTATTACGTGGATCTCTGTGACATTATTTCTCTCTCTGATGGGAAAAATCTGGATTTCAATCTGTGTTCCAGTCAATGTTTAGTATATTAAGCATTCATTGGGTAACATACACAGTCACACAGGAGGTAGGAGATGTGGGTTCATCTCCCTTCAGGTTGAGAACAAGTGAGATTTTTAAGAAAGGGCATAGCACATCCTTCTGTGGCAGAAGTTGCCCTTGTGTATAGACTTATCTTTTAGGCATGCTCTGAGAAAACTCATGAAATCAAGACCTGCAGGTCATAGTGACAATTGGTTGATATATCCTAACAAGGCCTATACACGTGTTGAGCACTTACCTCCTCAGCTCTATTAGACAAGCCAGAAGCAGACCTGAAGGCAGCAGGTATCTGGGACCTAAGGCATCTAGGGAACTCCGATACCTTACAGGAGAGATAGGGATTTTAAGTGTCACAATTTTGAATTTAGATGCCCAACATGAGAATTAGGCTATTTTTAGTACCTTTTGTGGATCTAGACCCAAGCAGGTTCCTGTCCCTAGCCTTGAAACAAGAGGAAGAGATGCAACGGAAAAAAGTTTTTGGGTTTCTTCAGCTAACTTTGTCAGCGAAAGACCTTTGCTTAATAAGCTTTTTGTTAGAGTAGTGTACTGAACCCTGATGAAAAATGTCCCATTCAGACCTTTTGGGTGTGGAGAGATTAGGCCAGGAGCTACACTTATCTGGGCACCAGGAGAAAAAGAGACTATCAGTTGCATGCAAAGCCTAGAGAGAGAGAAAAATGACTGTACTAGTGAGTGGTGGTTCCTTAGTGCTGGAATGGATATCCCCAGCATCCATCAGTCTGCAGAAGAGACAAATCTGCCAGCTGAGCAGAAATGCAAAGTTTCAGTTTCAGGGATCCACTCTCACACTTCAACTACTTTGGGAAAGACCACGAACAGAACTTTCATATCCACTTCATCTCTTCCAGAGAAGTCATGATTAAATAAAGAGGAACAGCTGTGTTCCTCCTGGGTTGGGTAAACTGCTTTGAATAAGAGGTAGGATGAGGGGTCATAAGGGGCTGATGGAACAGTTTATCCAGTTGCAGTCATAAGTATGTGCTCAGTAAGCATCACTAGGCAACTGTGCTGGGACACTACTGTACAGTAACACCAGTTACTGTGCAGTCATTTAGTACTTGGTTATGCAAGTACTAAATGACTGTGCATTAACAACTGCAGAGTCAGCGTCTCATGTAGATATGGCCACTAACACATAATCAGAGCTTACTGGGAATGGCAACCTCAGAACTTTACATGGAACTAGTGAAAGAAATTCACATGCACTGGCAGCAATTAAATCACATCCTTCAGAAATTACATCAAGAGAATAAGGATTTTAGTACATAAGGATTGATCTTGAAAGGTAGTGAAGACCTGCAACTTCTGTTAACTTAAGGAGTTGCACCACCCAGTATATTGGTGAATTGAACTCACCCTGATGGTTACTGGAATAATTGCATAGTTTAATTATGAGAAAGCATTATAAAGTATTTAAGGATGAGTCAAATATCATTTAATAAACTTCCTTCTATCAAGGAAATAACAGGGAACCAACCATTATATCTTTTTCTGTACATTTCCTGCCAGCAGAGGTTGTGTGGTTAGCACAGATGAGGGGAAAATTATTTCCCATATTTTGGTATTTTATATAGTATCTCCAGTTCCTCTTTCTCCTTCCTTACAAGTACAGAGCAGAAACTGTAATTGGTGTATGAGCCAATGACAACCCTGATAGAGAGGTACCAATCATAACTTACTATCATTGCGTACTATCTAAATACAGGAACTAGGAAGTACCTGTTGATGCTGACTGGCAAAAATGAATCAACTCATAAATAAATGCAAGGTGATTTTCTATCACAAATTTAAAGTGATCTGATCCCAACAGGTTGGATTTACAAACTTAAATAAAAACTTGTGAAAGGTCCTGTTGTAGTTTATAAAAAAGGTGGGGGTGGGGCAGGGAAATAAACCTTCCTTTTGCAAAATAGGAACTCCAGAATGGCAAAAAGGGATTTGATGGATTGAAATCTCTTCAGTAGTTTCCCATAACACAAGATGACAAAAGAGGGTGATTTTTTTAACAGAAATTAAATGGAATAACAGAGAACCTCAGAATCAGAACATAAATGAGGCTTCAACTTCTGTTATTATTCCTTTACAGTTTCTTCAGAATTATTTTAGATGATCTGTTTTCTTTCTTCCCTGTATCTTCTTACACTAATCAAATAGGAAAGGTTAACTGGACTGCAAAATAACTTAATTTTTTTAAATTTAAGTTACAGTAGTTAGTTGTTGGATTTCTTTATATTAAATTACAGTTTGTCATGGTATGGTCTAGGATTCAAATTTCAAGTCATTTGCCACTTAATAATTACTAGCAAGGATAGATTTGTCTGGCCACGGTCCTCTTTTGTTATGTCCCTATGTACTAAACTTTAAAAAATACAGAAGCTTCACAAAGGCTCCAAATAGGTTCACACAAACCACAGAAATGTCTAGAAGTAAATAAAAATATTTTTATTTTAATAAAAATATTGTAATAACATATTTGTTTATTGTAATAACATTTTATTTAGTGTGATAAAATATTTTATCAGGTGAGTTTTCAGTGCGAATTTAAATGTATCCTATCCTCTTACTTGTGCAACAGACCCTCAGAAATGTCTAGAAGTAAATAAAATATTTTATTTATATAAAAATCACAGTTTCGTGCACACAGTAGCAAATACATTAAAATTCTAAAGTTCCATGCATCCCATTAGTTTTTCCTGTCAGCACCAAATATTATAGAGGTACTTGAAATAAACTCTAGTATTTTCATGTTCCTTGATATTATTTTAACAATATGCAGTTTCCTAAGAATATTGCTACTTTTCTGGATAGTGTAGGAGTTCACAAGAATTATCACAATCAAAGATTTGTTGACTTGGTGCACATTATTATTCGATAAGAATCCTTATGCTTTCTTTTTTTAATCTTTAGTATAATATACAAACAGATCAGTACAGAAGTTGTGATAACGTCTCTGCCAAATCATCAGATAGTGATGTCAGTGATGTGTCAGCCATTTCCCGTACCAGCAGTGCCTCACGCCTCAGCAGCACAAGCTTTATGTCAGAGCAATCTGAGCGCCCAAGGGGCAGAATCAGGTGAGTTTACAATGTTAATTTAAATATATCCTATCCTCTTATTTGTATAAATGAAACACAAAATAAAAATACAACTAGAAATAACTGAAATTTGCTGACTGTACCAGTGTAAATACTTACAATATTTATCTATACACTCTCAGACACACACACACACACACACACACACGGAAAGTTTCATTCATAGTTTTCTATAAAATGAAGATGTTTTGCACCATAGCATTTAGTTATTTAAACAGGTAAACACAAACCTTGTAGGCTGGGCAACATCAAATGTCTGTACCAGTACAAACTTGTAGGAACCTCAGTATCATGTCAATCCTTGCAATGAATCACTGTGAAAAATATAATGAAAGTAAAACTTTGCAGCAGGTACCCAAGCACTGAAATCTTCTGAGTTTGTCTTATTTTCCTAATATAAGATCTACTCTTGTTTTATGTGTATATAAATAATTTAATTTCATCTAGGCAGTTGAAAGTACCTTAAACTTTAGCGAACCAACTTGGCCTTTGCACAAAATGCAGTTTAATATACAGTTCCTTTTATGTGTGTGAAACAATTATAAAACATATTGATTTTTAAATACACCATTGCTTCAAGAGCAATTTAATTTCTGTTATTTGTAGCCCAGATATCTCTATCTTCCTTGACAGTAATTTACTTTCAATGGCAGTGGTGTTTAGGTGTACAGATGGTTCTATCATACTTCATTAAAGGCAATGAAGCAACTCCCAGGGGTGTCAATGAGTGCCAAAATGGGCCTGTAATCTGTCACTACATCCCCCTTGGGTCTGAACTCTAACAACAGCTGCTTTTCCAAGTGGGTGTCTTAGAAGAGTAGCTAAATTAAGAGCTTTTAAACTTATCATTTCCATAAACAACTGTCAGTATGATCAAAGACTAGAAACTTATCACTTAATATCACAACTTGATGCTACCCATGCTCACCAATAGCGCTGGAAATTAGGTGTAGACTGCTGTTCTGGTCCTGTTTTCACAATAGTCAGTTACTTCAGCGGAACTTAAAACTGGGCTTTTACATCAGCTGGGTGAGTTAAATTTATTGTGGAAAGAAAGATCATCCTATTTTGAATATATTAGAAATATTTTATTTCAACTAGGTAAAATTATATTTGAGAGTGATAATGTAAAGTCATAATCTAGGAAAAAATTTAAATGATACTACTCACATGCTTAAGTGATATTTTGGATGGGGGCCTAATTCTTCAGTTTTTGTTGCCCTGAGGGGCTTTGATCCTGGCAAAATGTTGCTTTCTAGTTGCCAAGTTCCCTCCATTACAACTGATTTTGCCTTTTTTTTTCTGTTGGAAAGTACAGATTCATCAAAATAAAATTTGTCACATAAACATTTTGACCCAGATTTGTCACGAAGGGTTTCAGGTGTCCAAGGTGGAATGAGAGAAACTCAAGCTTTGTAAGAGTCAATATTTCCATCAGCTGGGGTCTGGGAAATCCTGTTTCTGCTTTGTGGCAGAGGAAGAACTTGAGTTTACGCCTCAAGTTAAGTATAAATACTGTAGAATATATTCAGTCTTTCTCTGGCCAAGTTTGATTTATACAAAGCTGAACTGCTTCAGAAGGATAGACTGAGAGACTGATGCTCAGATCCACAAAAATCTTAGGAGGAATTTAAGTACCTAAGTCCAGAAACTTGATCCACAAAATTCCCAACTAACTCCTTAGGCTCCTGAAAATCCGTAGGTGGCTATTGGCTTTGCCCGTAAAGTTTCTTAGGCACATTAACTAGCATTCACTTGAGGTAGCATAAATATAAAGACATACAATACCTGGAAAGGTCTAGGTGACATTTGGACCAAGGCAGTGGACTCCTTCCAAGTGTGACACTTAAGCTTTTATAAGGTTGTATTTTTTCTTACTAATTTTACATTTACATCATGATTGGCTATATGTTGTTTCTAAGGGGTTGTACAACCTTATTAAGAGGTCTTATGATAATACACAAGCAAATCCTACAAACAATTCTAAAATTGTCACATCTGATGTGCCATCCAAACCAAAAAACTAAGCTGCAGCCCTCCTTACTATAGCAGTATCTATGGTTGATAGCTTTATTGTTAAACACTTTCATAACATTTGGATTTAGTTGCCCCAGTGACTTTTCAATAAGGCACTAAGCTATATTTTTAATAGGTGAAAACTTAGACAGCATCTATTAGCAAATGAAGAGATCTCTAGATGTAACTGCTTATTACGTTCACAGGAAAAATTCACTCATGCTAGGGCCTAAGGATACTGACATTTTACAGTTAGTTTAGAAAGAAATTTTATGGTTGAAATGAACATAAAGATGGAAACCCTTCAAAGAGCTGATAAAGTGAAAGGCTTTGTTGACTTGGCATAAAGAAAAACCCCCCCTGCAGAATGCATACATTGTCTGATTCTGATCCTAGGTAAATATACTCCAGAACCCAAAGTATTTTTGTAGATGCATTTAGTTTTGCAAAATAAAATATAATAAACATTTCCAGATTTATCTACATAGTTTACCATAAAATCAGTGTACTCACCCATTATTTCTTGGTGTCTTATATTTAAGTATGTATGATATTTATGTATCCTTAAACATTCTGGATTGCTCTTTTTAACCATAATTTAATATAAATGTTGTTCCTATTACACTGTGGGTAGGTACAGACATTCAGGGAGGTTAGAAGGAGATTACATCATGTAAAAAAATGGCCACCGATCTAATTTAGTTCGTCCAGGTGCGGACCTCGTACTTAGATCCCTAGTTAAGTCTATCTAAGTGTGAACTATACAGAAGTACAGGAAGGTTAGATCGATCTAAAAATGCATGTGTCCTCCCCAATATGTCTGTCTACAAAGTCATCAGGGGGGACAGCAAGAGATAGGAGATGCTCTGTTTACCGGGGCACCCTTTGGAGTAATTAGAAATAACAGCCACAAACTGGCAGTTTCCAGATTCAGGTTAGTCATCAGGAAAAACTTCTTCACGGTAAGGTTTGCGAGAATTTGGAATGGGCTTCCAAGGGAGTTGGTGCTCTTCCCTACCTTGGGGGTCTTTAAAAGGAGACTGGAAAAGCACCTGTCTGGGGTCATCTGACCCTAGCGCTCTTTCCTGCCTGAGGCAGGGGGTGGGACTCAGTGATCTGCTGAGGTCCCTTCCGACCCTAATATCTATGAATCTATTAATCTAGTTTAACTCTCTCAGAGGTCATCTAAATCAGATCAGGTCTGACTGAATTGAAGTTCAGGATCCAAATGAACTTCTGTACAGTTCCCAGCGCAACCCTGGGGCTTGAAAAGCCTAATCATTGGTCCAGCCCTGGGGCTGTGTTATTTCTACTCCCCCCCCACCGGTACTGGGCTGTTTTTAGCCCCTGGACTTCTTGCACCACCCCTAGATAGAAGGCTAGCTGGCTTGCAGTATTCCCCCTTGCAGACCAGCCAGCCATCTCAGTCTCTCAAACCCCACTTCCTGCAAGCTGCTCCCAGCAGTAGTTTTATCACATTTGCCAGTGCTGGGATCTGAGGAAGTAAGTTCGGCTTGGGAAGGGGTGAGTGGTTGCTTTGCTGGGGAAGGGGTTGTTCATGTGGTGGGGGGAGGGGGCTCCTGGTCTTGGGCAGAAAAAGCCCCCCAATGTGTACACCCCTCCCCCAACTCTGACTTGCTTTAGTCAGGCTTCCAGGACTTGTGACAACTGGTAAAACCTGTCTCAGGAGAGGTTTCATAGTTTCTAGGGTTGGAAGGGACCTGAGAAGATCATCTAGTCCAACCCCCTGCCATGGCAGGAAAGAGTACTGGAGTCAAATGACCCCAGCAAGGTATTCATCTAACCTCTTCTTAAAAACCCCCAGGGTAGGAGCCTGCACCACCTCCCTTGGAAGTTGGTTCCAGACCCTAGCCGCCCT